TGGGAATGTAAATTCGTTCAACCATTGTGAAAAGCAATATGGAGGTTCCTCAAAAAGCTCAAAATAGAAATACCATTTGAACCAGTAATTCAACACCAAGGAATTTACCCTAAGAATACAGATGCCCAGTTCAAAAAAAGACAGATGCACCCCTATATTTATCGCAGCACTATTCAAAACAGCCAAGAAATGGAAACAAACTAAGTGTCCATTAGTACACGAATGGATAAAAAAGATTTGATACATATGCACAATGGAATATAATTCAGCTATAAGAAGAAAACAAATCCTACCATTTGCAACAACATGGATGGAGCTAGAGGGTATTATCTTCAGCGAAATAAGTGAAGTGGAGAAAGACAAGTACCAAATGATTTCAGTCATCTCGGGAGTATAAGGGTAAAGGAAAAACTGAAGGAACAAAACAGCAGCAGAATCACAGTACCCAAGAATGGACTAACAGTTACCAAAAGGACAGGAACCAAGGAGGATGGGTGAGAAGGGAGGGATAACGGCATGGAAAAAGAAAGGGGGCATTATGATTAGCATGTATAATATGGGGGGGGTGCACAGGGAGGGCTACAGTACACACAGAAGACAAGTAATGATTCTACAGCATGTTACTATGCTGATGGACAGTGACTCTAATGGGGATGGTGCAGGGTACATGTGAAGGGCGGGGCCAAATGAAAATAATTTTCTTAAGGTAATTGTAGATTGATACCAAAAAACAAAAAAGCCACTTTAAAAAGCCGTGAATTATCTTCATTTCTGCCTGCCTCTTAATGTCATTTTATCCCATCTGCCTATTTAAACCTCTAGCCACACTGGCTCTTCTCTGCTCACAAAAATATAACATTGTCTCTGCCTTCCTGCCTTTGCTCCTCTGCCTGCAAAATACTCAACACCAGACGAGGTACCAGCTCCAAACTCTGAAGTTGCAGTCATCGTCTCAGTTTCCTATTGTCTCAGAAAGGCTGCCGCTGACTACCTAAATAGATCCTCTGGTGATGAATTACACTGGTACCTGATGCTCTTTATAGAAAACTTCCCTGATAACATCTAAATCTTCACCACAGCACACAGCTCCGAAAGCAGAGACACTGTTATCACATAAAACAGAACCTGGCACTGCAGAACGAGTTCATTCCAAATCTCACCTGCAATCTCAGACGTGCTCTGGGCTATGCTGGCCATGTGGAAGGAAGAGGGTGTGCTCTGGCCAGCTGTACCCAGGGAGCTAGGTTTTAAGGCTCCCCAAAAAGGGTTCTTCAGATGAGTTCTCCCACTCTGTCCTGACCCACAGCAAAATGCCGAAGTGGAGGGGCTGCTGTGGGGGGCAGGCACGCATGTCCCAAAGCCCCCATTGCCAGTGGGGCCTGCAGACACCATAGATGTGAAGGGAGCTGAGATGGTGCTGCCGAACCCGGATATCCTGGTGCCACAGCTGGTGCGCTGGGTCACAGCTCCAAAGCCGGAGGTGATGGCTGTAAAAAAGGAGCAAACATGGATCATTGTCTAACCCCATACACAAAAGTAAAATCAAAACTGATCAAACCCCCGAAAGTAAACCAAGAAACCATAAAACACTTAGAGAAAGACAGGCGAAAATATCTTGGACATAAACATGAGCGACTTCTTCGGCAACATATCTCCCCAGGGAAAGAAAGGAAAAATGAACAAATGGGACTATGTCAAGCTTAAAAGCTTCTGTACAGTTAAGGGCACCATCAACAGAACAAAAGGGCATCCTACAGTATGGGAGAATATACTCATAAATGACACATCCAATAAAGGGTTGACATCCAAAATATATAAAGACCTAACACACCTCAACAAACAAAATGCAAATATTCCAATGAAAATGTGGGCAGGGGAGCTGAACAGGCAGTTCTCCAAAGAAGAAATTCAGGTGGCCAATAGACACATGAAAAATGTACCACATCGCTTATAATCACAGAAATGCATATAAAAACCACAATGAGATATCACCTCACACCAGTAAGGATCGCCACCATACAAAACACAAACCACAACCAATCTTGGCAAGGTTGAGGAGAGAGGGGAACCATCCTACACGGCTGCTGGGAATGAAAATTAATTCAAACACTGAGGGAAGCAATATGGAGGTTCCACAAAAACCTCAAAATGGAAATACCGTTTGACCCAACAATACAGATCCTGGGAATTTACCCGAAGAATACAGCAGCCTAATTTTGAAAACGACAGAACAGACATACCCGTATGTTTATCGCAGCACTACTTACAACAGCCAAGAAATGGAAACAAACTACGTGTCCATCAGTACATGAATGTATGCACAATGGAATATAATTCAGCCTAAAGAAGAAAGCGATTCCTACCATTTGCAACAACATGGTTGGAGCTAGGGGGAATTATGCTCAGTGAAATAAGCGAGGTGGAGAAAGACGAGTACCAAATGATTTCACTCATCTCGGGAGTATAGGAGCAAAGGAAAAACTGAAGGAACAAAACAGCAGCAGAATCACAGAA